CTTTTTTATTTTTGCTTAGAAGAACTAGGGTGTAGGGCAGAGGTACAGGGGGTAAGATGATTCACCAGAGACAGAGTGGGGAGCAGAACAGGCAGATCTACTGAAATATACTGCTGAGGGGAGCAGCGGGCAAGACAGGAGAGGTCTGCTGCGCTATGTGGGTCGCTCCCTGGCTGGGGATCAAACTCATGTTGTAGCAGTGATAGCGCTATGACTTAACCCATAGCCCACCAGGAAAGTCCAAAATAAACATATATTTTAAATCCAATCTCAAGGAAATATCATTTCATAGTCAATTGATTTTGTATGTGATACATTATTGTTACATGTTTAAAGTTCTTACATGCCCATCTTGAAAGCTGTGTAACACTTCACCTAAAAGTCTCCTTGTACAAGTTCCAGCACAGTTCTTCATTTACTTTGCAAAATATGTTGACCTCAAGATCTAGTCCACCTTGGAAAAACATCAGCTATTATAAATATGCAACAGAATCACAGAGTTCATATAAACAAAAATCTATGGAGATATTATCAAAGCTTAGTAGAGCATACTGGCTAAACCCATGGGAGGCAGAGCCAGATGTCTGAATTTAAATCCAACTCCTCCACTTAATATCTGGCTCTGGATTAGCTATTATTTCCTACATTTTTTCAGATAAAAAATAATAAGGAGTAGGAAAGCTAAGATCGTACTAATGCTGTAGGACTGTTGTGGATATTGGAAGAATTTCATACAGTTTTTGGAATGTAGTAACTTTTCAATATATATTAATCATCAATAGAGGAACTCTGAATCTCAAAAGATTAAGAAAACCTGCACCATGTTTTATATAACTGTGTTTTCAACAATGTGGTAACACTTACCAGCTCAAATATCACTTGTTTTTCTCATCTCTGTAGCCCCACAGTAGCTAATATGTTCTTCAAATAAAATGGGGTTTATTCCAGTATACACATTTGCGAACATTAAAATTAAGGTTTGTTGAGCAATTTACTGGTCAAACATTCAAAAACAAAGTCAACTTTTTGAATCATTTGAACAGATATAATTCACAAGTGAGTGACTGTAAAGAAACTAATACTCTAATGTTATGTCCTATAATTTAAATGTAATTATTCAATTTTTCCAAATATACTTTTTATGTAATGGTTATGGTGGCTACTATACAGATAGAAAAAGCTAGGCTTAAATGTTAATGCCATTTACACAAATATAAGGCAAATTTGCAGCCAAGTAATCTGAGATTCTATTTCCAAGTCAAATAAAAAGTTTATTTTACCTGAACCCAGATGTAGATATAAACCAGGGTTAAATAGTCATCATCTAAATATACAACAGCACTAAAAATATCTATTTCAGGGGTGAACTGCACCATGCAGAATGAAAAGTAATCATTAGGTTCCAATCATAATGTAAGTATGTATAGATGTCATATTAGCATGCCATACACCTGAAATCCATATAATGTTATAAACCATAGTTACATCAATAAAAAATTTTTAAGTGTCTGGAACTCAATAAATGTAAATATATTGTCATTGACAAAACCAAGTTCAACAATGCTAGTTTGATATCCACAGCTAAAATCAGAGAAGCTCACAGGGCATTCTTTATGTGGTATTGCTATAAAAGTGAATTCTCATCAAGTTCTGAAATTCAGAGTATCATATAAAAGAACTGTGCCTTCAGCTCCTAAATAAGATATTTCTAAAATAATTTGGCTGCCATTTGGGCAAATATATATGTGTGTTTTGCCTTGACAGCTTGTCAACTGGCAGACAGTTCCTGAACATCACATTCATTTCAATTTAATATTGGTAAATTTCTCAATTAGAATTCTATTTTTCACTTTCTGCACAATGAAATCCCCCTGTCCTTGCTGGCATTCCTCAGGGTGTACAGGTGCAGGTGCTGGCATTTCTGCAGTAGCAAAAGAAGAAAAATGAAAGAAGTAAGGAGGGAGGGAAGATCTGGGCTGAGAGAGAACAGTGTAATGGGGAGAGAAAGGAGATAGTAGCTGACCTTCATCCTGATATTCACCTTCATGAGAAATGAAGGGAATAATTCACACTTGACAATAAAATAGTGCAGCTGCCTCTGCTTCCTTTAACCAGAGAGGCTGAAGTCAAACAGAAACCAGCCACCCAATGTATAAAATCAATACACAGGAAAGGTCCAAAAGGTAAGGTGGGAAATAGATTAATAAAAATAATTTTAAAACCCACAACCATCACCAATTATTGAACACTTCTCTACTTTATGGCAGATCCGTGCTTTTATTACATCATGTGATACTCACATAATGAAAGCAAGATGGAAATTATTATCTTTGCATTGTAGGTAAGGAAAGTAAGCAACGATTTCACATCCCTGAACTTCAAAGTCAACCAGATAATAAGGGATAGAACCAGAATTCAAAAATGCATAGATCTAACTTTAAAATCCACATTTTCAACTACAGCAAATTCCATGTGGTTTTAGAGGAAACATCACAGGCTAATCATTTTTTTAAAATATACATATAGCTGTTAAAAAATAAAATATTAATATACATATAGCTGTTTTATATATATAAATATACATACAGCTGTTCATATGTTAGTGTCAATTACTTATTTTAGTCTCTACCTACTTAACCAGATAAATCTTTTAGAGAAAAATGCACACACAAACACACACACGCACACACACAGGTGCATACACACATTGCATTATGTCATTAATAATTGCTGTAAAATCCTTTCCTTAGTTGAAATTGACCTTGCAGAAGTTTTGGAGGGAGTTCTTCTCAACATATTTATCAGATACATGACTCATATATACAGAAATGGAAGCCTCTGACACATTTACAATAAATAGATATAGACTTGGCCATTACACTGTAAAATCATAATAACAGGCCAAAAATATCAGCTTCCCTCTTCATTATTTATTAGCAATTAAGATAAAGTCTTTTGTATATATTATAGGTACTAAGAATCCTTTAAAACCATCTTATTCTATTCTGAATAAAAGACAAATTAGTCAAGTTCTCTGCTCGAAATGAGTTGCTCAAACAAGAAGGAAAAAAGCAAGGAAGAAAGAAAAGATTATATAGGGTTTCTCAGTTTCTGTTTGTATGGCAGAGTCTAAAAGATGTATAGAGAAACTTTTACTTGTTCATTGTGGGTTTCTTTCTGTGGTGCTGGAGATGACACAGAGATAGCTTTCTGCTAGAATACCACAAATGTTTCCCCAGAAAAAGTACCATTTCAACAAGCCATAGAGGAATGATTTGATTTTTTGATAAAAGAAAAATATATAAAAGTAGAATTCCTTGCACAAGAAATAGTTAAGGGAGTTTTGGCAAGAGGAATACCTGGGTGAGACCTAAAATCAATCCTGATTTGCTGCTGCAATTGGTCTATCTACCAAAGCTATTCTGAAGGTAAGAAAGAGGAAATCAAATGAAGTCAGGCTCTCTACCTAATTCTGGCCTTCAGTTTATATCTCTACTTGTGTTTTCTTTATTTTTATTTATCTCATCATGCCCACCTGCTTCTAATTTACATGTATCCTTGTAGGTTGTCTCAAATGCAATTTGAAACAAACCAGCATGTATATTACATATATAAGAGTGACTTTCATGATCTTATACTCTAAATGCTGGATTCTGCTTACTACTTCTATCACACAAGGTAGAAATCTAAAATCTGCCCTCTTACACATAAAATCTAGGGCCACGGGTTTCCTGTGTCAAGGTCAGGGTTTGGGAATAGATAAGCAAAGTCCCAAAAGAGTAGGGGAGAAATGGAGAAAATCATGTTTTGAAATACAGACTGGTGTGGGGCCTCCCTGATGGCACAAAGGGTTAAGTCTCAGCACTAAGAGGTTATCCACAGCCACTGCAGTACAAGTTTGATCCCCGGCCAGGGAGCTACCCACATGGCACAGCAGACCTCTCCTGTCTCTTCCACTGCACCCCTCAGCAGTGTATTTCAGTAGATCCGTCTGTTCTTCTCCTTAATGTGTCTCCAGTGAATCCTCTCACGGCCTGTACCTCTGTCCTACACCCAAGCTCTTGCTTGCATAAATAAGTAAATCTTAAAAAAAAAGAAATATAGATTGGTGTGTAAAGGTGTAATGGCTACTCCCAAGGCTCAGAAAAAGTGACCTTTGAAAAAAGTCCTAAGAAAAAAAGTTGAGGGACCTCCCTGGTGGCACAGCGGTTAAGCGCTGGGTTGCGAAGCTGCCCGCAGCCTCTGCAGCACCGGTTTGATCCCCGGCTGCTCCCTGGCCACCGGAGGAAGGTCCCACATGGCGTGCAGACCTCTCCTGCTGCCCACCGCTCCCCTCAGCAGTGTACTTTGGTCCTTCTGCCTGCTTTGCTCCCTGCTCTGGCTCTGGTGAATTCTCTCACCCTCCTGCGCTTCTGACTGTACCCAGTGCTTGTATAAATAAATAAATAATAAATAAATAAATCTTAAAGAAAAAAAGTTGACAGCTACAACATAGAAGTCGCTTTTGGTAACTATAATTTCCTAATCCATCTACACCAGACCCACCATCTCAATCCAATATCTGGCTGACTACAGACCTAAACAATTTTCTTTTTCTCTTTGAGCTGCATCTGCATGAGAATATACACAAACAAATAATTAAACATCAAGCAAATATCAATAGGATTAGTCTGGCATGTTGGAACAAATCTTGATAAATCCGCCTCAGTAACAATACTCGAACTACAAGTCTAGGAGAGGAATACAAATTTAGTCTATTGAAGTGCTGTCATGTAAGGAGAGATATTTTAATAAAACTGCTTCGTCAGTTCCTATTACTGAGGGACTAGAGCTATTGAGCTGTGGAACTTAGGCCAAAAAAGGGGATTTGGAAATGCAAATGAGAGATAAGAAGGTAATAAATGTCTTTTTTTTTTTTCCCAACAACATACTATCCCTGATGCCAGGAGCTATTTTAAGGATGATTTTTAAAAATTCTGTGAGATTGGAAACATACATACCCAGAATGGACATCTCTGGCACAGTAGCATGATAGGGTCCATTAAGAAACTCTGGTGCATTGTCGTTGATGTCTTGAACTTTTATAATAAATTCAGAAGGAGGCTCAAGAGGTTTGTTCGTCTCCCAGTCCACAGCCTGAGCTGTTAGGGTATACTCAGCCTTTTCCTCTCGGTCAAGTCTTTTTATAGCATGGATATCTCCTGTTATATCATTTATTTGAAAGATTGTCCCAGCTCCATCTCCTGAGAGGATATATTTGATTTTTTTGCTCCCAGGATCCAGGTCTGTGTGTAGCTAAAATGAAAAGTGACATTGGTGAGTGATGGGACAATTTGCAAGGTTATTTTTTTAACAACCTACTGTTTGAATATCAAGTTGGTCCTTTTTAGATTATTGTCACTTTATCAATTTCTGCAAAAAAATTGATATGCAACTGTATGCTTATCAGTTAAAATAAAATCCCCTCAAAATAATTTAGAACAGTTTTTTTTTTTAAATCCTGACCTGTATAAACTGACATGCACTTAGAATGATGAAAAGATCAAGAGAAAAATACAAAGATATATGTAATCTTTTCAATTTACTAGTACAATTATCTGCTGTCACTATTTTTATTTACCTTTTATGGATCACCGTCTGCATTCTCAAGAGTATGTGAGTCATTATATATATATATATTTTTTTTTTTCTGAAAGTCAATCAGTTTGCATATTTTGTAAGAAACATGAGAGGGGCCTCTCTGGAGGCCAGGAGGTTAAGCCTCAGTCCTATCACCGCTATGATCTAAGTTCGATCCCTGGCCAGGGAGCTAACTTACATGGCGCAGCAGACCTCTTCTGTCTGCCCGCTGCTCCCTCAGTAATGTATTTCAGTAGCTCTGCCTGTTCTGTTTCCCACTCTGTCTCTGGGGAATCCTCTCTACCCCCCCCAACCCCCACACCTCTGGCCTACACCCTAGTTCTTCTACACAAAAGAATTAAAAAAAGGAAACATAAGAATAGTGAGGTGCGATAAGGTATATAATAACCTCTTTAAGGTTCACATTTGATGGAATTAACTGTGGTAGACTGACAATTCAACTCAGATCTGCCTGCTCGATCTACAGAAACAAAAACAATTCTAGTAATCTCATATATATTAAGACCTTACGTTTGTGTAGGGTTTCTTTTTCTTGGATTTGCACAATTCTTCTGGTTCTAGAAAATTATTCCTATTTTACACAGAAGAGCCCTGAGGCCAGAACATGGGGGCAATATTTTCTAGTAATGGATGCCTTTCAAAAATGAAAATTTTGCAGCAGGAATTCAGATGAATCTTAGGTCACGGCAACAAAAATTTCTTAAAGACCTAGTATGCCTGAAATGTTTTCTTAGGAACTGGGTAGCACAGAATTCCAGGATTTAAATTGTTGTATTTGCTCTCATGAAGGAGACAGGAGTGTTCTGATACATACTGCTCCTTCTTTAAATTATGTTGACTCCTATTAAGTAGCTAAAATAAATCAAGAATATATAAGTGTAGTTCGCATTTCAAAAATTCACTGAAATATAGTTACAAAATACTGCATAAACTCAAAATACTGCATAAACTGGCAATATATTGACAGTTCCAGTCATTCCATTGAGAGAGTTGAAATACCTGCCCCTTTAAAAAAAAAAGTCTTGTGGAAAGAAACCCCTAGAAACTCTAAAGATATTGTATTCTCTTGGGATCACTTGTATTCAGAACCGGCTCTATCACTTTCTTCGCCAATTTAAATTGTATTTAGCGCTTCAATAAATTAAATGAAAAGATTGTAAAAAAAGACATAAAATAGTAACAAAGAATCCAAATGCATCTAGATCTTCTACTTTACTTTTGAATATTTTTAAAAGTTAAAGCATAAGATTACATCAAATATTTATTGAATCTCAAAATGTATCCTTTTCATGTATTGTATTAAATTTATTAACAAGAGCCAAATATGGAAATGCCACTTTATCTTAATGAATGTGAGATTATAATTCATTAATGTGATATTAATCCTAATTTATGATCATTTTAATTTATGTGCATTTTAACATTTCTATTAGCATTTTTATTAAAAAAAGAAAATTTGAATAATATATCATTCATGGAGGTTTCCATTCACATACTAGATATTCCTAAGACACAGATATTCCTGAGTGTATCCTGCACTCTTAATCACAACATTTTTGCTCTTAAGAGATTGTAACTTGGGCCTCCCTGGTGGTGCAAGGGGTTAGGCACCGCACTATGAAACAGTCTGCAGTCTCTGCAACACAAGTTCGATCCCCAGTCAGCCAGAGAGAAACCCACATAGCAAAGCAGATGTCTCCAGTCTCGCCCGCTGCTCCCCTCAGCAGTGTATTTCAGTCAGTTTGCGTGTTCTGTTTCCCACTCTATCTCTGGTGAATCCTTTCAAACCACCCCCCCCCCAACCACATCTCTGGCCTGTACCCTAGCTCTTGTATGCATAAATAAATAAATCTCTAAAAAAAAAAAAAGAGAGATTGTAACTACGTGGCTCCAATAATGTAAGAAAAAATTAATAAAAATTTTCTTTTAAAAGAGATTGTCATTCAAAATGGTACCATAGTTATTTATGTTACAACTTATCTGTGCTATATATCCTTACATTCATCATCTGTCTCTGGTCATTAAATTTTATTATACTCTTAACTTAGTTTTTCATAAGTCCTTGTTTTTAAAAATAACTGAGGGAATCCTCTCACCCCCCCATACCTCTTGCCTGATCCTATTTTTTATACATACATAAATAAATCTTTTTTAAAAATAACTGAGGGAAAAGAATAGAGAAGGGTTTTGAAAGCGTAAAAGCTAAGATTCAGGCGTAACTACAGAAATGAACAGTTATTTGAGTTTCATTTATTTTGCCTATAATATGGGAATATAACATCTACTCTGCAGAATAGAATCTGAGTGTATGTCTTTAAAAAAAAAAACAGAGAAAAATGGGAGTGGATATGTTTAGTGTACAATAACTAAAATCCACTTCATACCATATTCAACTATACATAACTATCTGAAAACATTGTGATAAACTTAGTTGTACCATAAGTGACAGCAAGTTCCCAATACTTCATCCTGAAAAAAATGGGACAAAAGTCCCTTGAGAAACACTGCTGCATTCTCTTCTAGAAATTCATTTCCAGCAAATCTCAGTAAAATCCAAATCCCTTGGGATAACAGAAACCTTGAAACACAGAACATTTTGTTTGTATATTTACTCATCTCATCCTGTTATATATGATACACATACCCAACACACACTCTTGCACAAGGCTTGATGCCACCAAAAAAAAAAAAAAAAGAAAGAAAGAAAGAAAAAAGGAAGAACTGTGGTGTGTCAAAATAGAAATTTACAGGGAACACATGTTCATAAGACTCCAGATCTAGATTCAGAGTATGCAGTGACAAGCTGCTGTTTTTCTTTTTGTCTTCACATAAGTTTATTAGAAGCTGCTCACTTCCATGCAACAGTGCTCCTATCAATTTATCCCACACCAGAACCCTCTCTGTAGATTACTGTGCCAAAGATATCCCAAATGTGCCACATGTTCACACACTGTGCATCATCTGGAAGTGTGAGCACCATCTCTCCCAAGGGCTGCTTCTGCTAATTAGAGCAGGATAAGGGCCACATGCAAATTGGCCTGGGGTATTAAGACTCTTTGGTCTGGCAGTGGTACAAAAAGACCTCATCCATTCATTTATTAGATGTGTGCAGAGCATGTTTATAACTAACACGACATGGTTTCTGCCCTTAAAGACCCATATGTTAGTGGGAGATAAAAACAGAGTAACAGAAAAGTTAAGGGAAGTATAGTTATTATTTTTTATTACTACTATTATTATTACTATTACATGGATCAATGACTTATTATCTGGTAAATATTATACATGTAAAACTCTAATTTTCTTCTCATAGCAAACGAGAGACCATTTCTCCATGTCACTAACAAAACAACTGGGATTCAGATATTTTTAGGGAACTTTCTCACACAATGTACTATTGCAAGTAGCAATCTTCATGGTACAAGCCTTAGAGTAAATTTCCTGTATATGCATATGCTAAAGATCATGAAGTAAAAGGTAGAGGCTTTAAGAACTCATAGAAATTTTACTTAACTCAACATGGACTATGAGGGACAGGAAAAACTTCCCCCAAAGAGGCGATGATTGAAATTTCAGATCATAAAGGAGAAAAAGTATACCAGGCACAGGTGAAGATCCAGAGAAGGGCATAAAATGTGATAGACATGACAGATAATTTTATATGGTTAGAGCACTGAGACAGGTGGGAGAGGTGACAAACATAAGAATAGAAAGTAAGGCAAGGGTCATAGTATATACTAAGCCCTATGGAAAATAGTACAGAGATTTCTAGAAATACTAAAAACGTATTTAACCTATTTCCCAGCAATTCTAGTCCGGATATCTACCCAAAAGATGCAAAAACACTAATTTATAAGTGATAGATGCACTCTTGTATTCACTGCAGCACCATTTTTAATGGACAAGTTATGAAAACAATCTAAGAGTCCAAGGACAAAGGAGTGAATTACAGGGCCTCCCTGGTGGTGCAAAGGGTTAAGACACAACACTGTGAAACTATCCGCAGCCACTGCAGCATGAGTTTGATCCCTGGCCAGGATGCTGACCCACAGGGCGCAGCAGACCTCTCCTGGCTCGCCTGCTGCTCCCCTCAGCAGTGTGTTTCAGTCAGTCTGCCTGTTCTGCTCCCCACTCTGTCTCTGGTGAATCCTCTCACCTTCCCCCCGACACCTCTGGCTTGTACCCCAGTTCTTGCATGCATAAAGAAAGAAATCTTTAACAAAAAACAAATGAGTGAATTAGGGAAATGTGATATATAAATACAACACAGTGTTTTGAGGCCAAGATACAGAGTTTGGACTTGACTATAAAAGCAACAAGGGTTCATAAACAATGTTTCAGTGAGGAGTCTGATAGAACAGTTTTGTTTTAGAAACATCACAGTGGTTGGTATGTGTCTCAAAGTAAAGGTCTTAGACGCAAAGGGGAAAGAAGGTCAGAGAGAACACTTAGGTACCAATTCACAAAGCAGCCTCCAGTTGGAGCCACATGTTTAATGCAGTGCCTGCGATCCACTGCATCTATCACCGGAGGAGTCTGTACTCTCTCTGGTCACCCACTTCAGCCTGGTTGGAGAAGCACAGAGTCAGGTGTACAAAGAGCAACCCCAGTGTTTCACACCAGGTCTTCGATTCCAGGGATCATAACAGGACTGC